CCTAAACCCTAAACCCTAAACCCTAAACCCTAAACCCTAAACCCTAAATTTTAAGGATTAAACCCTAGACCCCGATTCTAGGCTTCAAACCCTAATCTCAAGCTTTAGGTATCTCAAGGCATCTCAGCTCAGCAATAGGGGGAAAGCATGCGGCCAGCCTACACTTAACTTCTAGGGTTTAGGGTTTAGGGTTTAGGGTTTAGGGTTTAGGGTTGTTGCTGCTGTGCTGCAGGATATGTGCGAATACGTGGGGAGCACAGAATTCCTCAAGGCGGCTCACCAGCGGGTGTTGGAGGCAAGCCAAACCCTAAACCCTAAACCCTAAACCCTAAACCCTGAACATCAAACCCCATCTCTCATAAGCTTGCTTGGCACATTAAAGATACTTAGGGTTTAGGGTTTAGGGTTTAGGGTTTAGGGTTTTTGTGGCTGCAGGAGTTCGAGGCAAATAAGGAGGAGATGAACTACACGGTCCCCGCCAGCTCTTCTTTCATTGCTTCATATTACCCTGGCAAGGATCCTCATACATAGCTGCTTTCTAGGGTTTAGGGTTTAGGGTTTAGGGTTTAGGGTTTAGGGTTTGTTCCGCTCTGCTGCAGGCCTGCTGCTGTACATACACCGCAGCGTGCAGCAGGCGGCAGAGAAGATCCCTCCTACAGATGCATTTCACTATGCCTTCATTGACGGGGATTATGTAAACCCTAAACCCTAAACCCTCAACCCAAACCCTCGCCCTCTTACCCCAAACCCTAAACCCTAAACCCTAAACCCTAAACTCTTCACATTGCCGCGCTCTGCTGTCCGCTTCAGGCCGTCTTTCAGAACTCGACGGACAGCTTCTTTAGTTGGAGTGGTAACTCATTAACCCTAGGGTTTAGGGTTTAGGGTTTAGGGTTTGGGGTTTAGGGTTTAGGGTTTAGGGTTTAGGGTTTACAATGCAGGGTTTGCTCTGTGCAGCAATTTCGTACTTGGTGGGAAGTGAAACCCCTTGACTCCCTCGTAGCTGAACCCATAAACCCTAAACCCTAAACCCTACACTCTAGGCTCTAAACCCTAAACCCTAAACCCTAAACCCTAGGTTTGTGAGCAGACATGGAAAACCCCCATCGGCAGCTGCACTGGTATCGGTGGAATGCTGCGCGAGCCCTCGCTGCAGATATTTCGAAGCATCTCCACCACTTCACCCCGGCCCGTAAACCCTAAACCCTAAACCCTAAACCCTAAACCCTAAACCCTA